TCGGAGAAAACTTGTGTTGAGCGTTCGTCGAACAAATCTTGCGAACAGACTATTCATGAAGGTTGTTTGTTGGAAGCTTCCTTCCAACATCTATGATACAACACAAAAGCCAACTTCCGCAGGAGTGTTGAGTGAAGGGCTTCCTTCAACAACATCCCAAGCATCCTGCTCACGAGCGTTTTTGGAGGTGTTCCTCCTTCAATAACTTCCCAACAACCTTCCTCATATGTTCAAACAACATGTCCCTTTTTTACAAGCACACACGCACATATATATATATATGTATGTATATACATATATACATATGTGTGTGTTCTTGTGTATACCTATAACACATCCGCCAAAAACAATTCCAACAAAATCTTCCTCACGATGTTATATATGTCGCCCTCTTAAAGCATCCGGATATTTTCCTCAGGATGAGTGTTGGAAGGCTTCGAAAAACAACTTTGCAACCAACAACGTGTTCTGAAACGCTTCTTTAAAACATCTGGCAACAACCTCCTCGGGAAGGTTTTTGTCGGAGGGTTGTTGTTATTGTTGCAGGGTTGTGGCAGGGTTTCGCCCAACAACTTTGCAACAACTTGCTTTCAGGAAGGTTTGTTAGAAAAGACGTCCTCCAAAAACCTTCCAAAACCCTTCCTCCAGATGATTTGTTTGGAGGGGGGCCGACCGCTGGGGGGCGGGCCAGCGGCGGGCGGGCAGATCGGGATAGAAATGAGATTCCTGAAGGGTCTCCCTTGCAGCTGGATGCTCTTAAATACTGGGTGCTGTGCCGGAGACGGCGGCTGTTGAGTACTGGGTGTTGCGCTGGAGACGGCTGCTGCTGAGTACTGGGTGTCGTGTTGCACACGGGCGCACGGCGGGCGGGCGGCGGGCTGCGGTCGGCGGACCGGCGGCGGGCGGGCGGATCGGGATTTTTGTTTGATTATAGATCTTCAGAGCCGATTATCTCCTGCAGCAGGGTGCTGTTGAGTGCTGAGTGTTGTGTTGGAGACGGAGGCTGTTGAGTACTAGGTTCAGGTCGGGCATGTCCTCTTACAGGCGGCTTTTGGATGACATTTGTTGTTTTAAACAAAAAGAGCACCCCCAAAAGTACTCCAGAAGATTCGACAACAGTAACAAGTCGTCCCCATTTCTCCTGTAGAGGGCCACGCCCGAATTGATACTGGGTGCTGTGTTGGAGACGGAGGGCGTGGAATCATCGCTGGGCCCCTGCTCGCCCTGTGCCCCTCGGGGCCTCCCCCGTCGTTGCTGCTTGCTGATGGATCGACGCTAGCTATCCACACTGCATTAACACACTGCTGTGGATCCACGGTGGCAATCGTTGCCGTTTTCGCCTTCTTGGAGGCTGCAAGGGTCGCCGTGCAGCGTTTTTCCCGGATAGCTGCTCCACGTTCGATGCTTTACCATTGCGTTGTCTCTGTCGCTGGGTGTTGTGGCGATCGCGGGAGCGCGGCGGGCGGGCGGCGGGGGGACGGGGGGCCGCGCGAGCGGCGGGCGGGCGGGCGGCGGGCCGCGGGGGGGGGGCAGCCCGCGGCAGTTCGCGGAAGCCCTCCCGGGAACCTTCCACCGGATGGTGTTTCGGAAATTGTTTGGGAGCCTGTTTTTTTCAGACTCTGGCAAGTTTACTTGCATGGACGGGGGAGGGGGGGGCTGAGCCTGAAGCAAGCCGCAAACGACTTGCACGTTCGGGGGGCGCGGAAATCACGCAAGTCGAAAGGCACTTGCACGCTCGTATTCGCTTGAAGAGGGGCGAGGGGGGGGGGGGGGGGGGGGCGAACGCCATGCAAGTCAACTTGCCTGAATCCACAAAAAAAAAACAAGCTCTTGGGAAGTTTTCCCGGGTTGAAGGAGGTAGATCAGTGAGTGGCGAGAGAGCCTGCTGGAAGGTTGCTGGGGGGGTTCGAAGGCAGGTCTTTTCGGAGGGCTTCCCCTGTCCAAGATTTTTTTGTGTTCAAAAGCCTCGCCCGGGAAGATTCTTGGACGGTTTCCTTCGAAAGCCTTCAGAAGGGTGTTTGGAAGACTTCTGCGACAAATGAACCTCCAACCAAAAAGCCTCCAACAACAATCCTTCTGAGGATGGTTTGTGTAGGAGTCTGTTGGGGGAAACCTTCCGAAAATAAAAACGACTCCTGAGGATGGTTGCGTGAATGTGTTCGAAAGAACCCCCCTCAAAACGCCTCCAGAAAAATAATGTTTGCTTGCTTTCTGGGTGAGAGGTTCCGGGCACTCCCGGGACACATACCCCAATACAAACAAATGCCTCGTGGGACCTTCTGGAAGCGGGGGGGGCGAAAAACGCCCCCCGACGCACAGCTATCCTTAAGTGGGGCCTGTCCCCCGCAGGGGGATTTTCGACGAAAAATAAAAGATACACCAAAAATATACAAAAAATGCTAAAATAGTCTGGGTGCTATTTTTGGATAATTTCTGGATTTTTTTTTGGCATCTTTGGGATATCTTCATTTCTCGTCGAAAACCCTCCTGTAGGGGGACAGGCCCGACTTAAATCTACCCCAACACCCCGAAAAGAGGTCCTGATATTGAAAATGCCTCCCGAAACGTCCGTGCTGGGGCTGCGAAGGCCACGACACGCCCCCCCCAACAACAAAAAACATCCCTGCAGCGTCCTGGGGCCTCCTGGGGCCTCCGCGCGCAGCGGCACGACTGCTCTGACGAATCCCCTACTAGTAGTAGTAGTAGTAGTAGTAGTAGTAGTAGTAGTACTACTACTACTACCACTACTACTACTACTACTACTACTACTACTGCTACTACTACTACTGCTACTACTACCTACTACTACTACTACTACTACTACTATTGCTGCTGCTAGTGCTACTGCTGCTGCTGACGACTACTACTACTACTACTACTACTACTACTACTACTACTACTACTACTACTACTACTACTACTACTACTGACTACTACTACTACTACTACTACTACTACTACTACTACTACTACTACTACTACTACTACTACTACTACTACTACTACTACTACTACTACTACTACTACTACTACTACTACTACTACTACTACTACTACTACTACTACTACTACTACTACTACTACTACTACTACTACTACTACTACTACTACTACTACTACTACTACTACTACTACTACTACGACTACTACGACTACTACGACTACTACTACTACTACTACTACTACTACTACTACTACTACTACTACTACTACGACTACTACTACCTCTGTCCTGCGGAGGAGGATGAGGATAATCGATCGCAAACAATATCCCACGCGAAACGGCCGTTCCGGCATCTGCGAGTAGCCACAAAAATGGGCTGAAGGACACCCCCGCGGGGGTGCCGCATTGCGAGCCGTCTCGAGCGAGCAATCCGCTCCCGAATCCGCGAGCAACAGCAATATGATCCCCCTTGTGGTACAACATTCACAGGAATTCTGAGGCGAAGCGGTTGTTCTGGCGTCTGCAAATAGCGGCAAGACTGTTTTGAAGAATCCCCGGTGTTGAATTGCAAAGAAATCTCAGGCGAGAACGCCCTTGCTGAGTTTGGGGCCCTCTCTGGCCAGGGCCTCCCGGAGTACTGTGTGCAGAAATATCGCACAGGAGCGTCGTTGTTGTTGTTGTTGCTGTTGGAAGGCTGCCCCGAGACGCTTGGACGTGAGATTCATTTCAAAGGAAATGCAGCTCGTGCCGAGGCGAAAGGGCCCAACCGCTTATGGCGGACCCAAACCTAACAATTGATGAAAAGTTCAGGTTCAACGACGAAATATCGCAACAACAATCCGCACCTCGGAACCCCATTTCAGCCATGCACCCAGGGACAGTGAATGACCGGTCAGCCACCTCACTCTGACTGTAATGCAGACTTCAAGAATGTTTGTACACGGCTTTTCGACCTAGCACCAACCAGATGCGACCACTTAGTACCACTTGCAGTGATCGTGATAGCACTCAGGAGGGCCAACCCAGGAACGAACGAATTATTCTGGCCACGGCGAGCCTCGGCCAATGATATATTCTCCGAACTGGATCGAAGATACGGTATTGAATGTTTAGCCACCTGGTAGCTCTCAGTACTTCGTAATCCGTAGCGAGGCAAACTACTCATCCCTTGACTTGACCTTGGCAGGCCTGACATGTTACGCCTCCAGCAGCGCAGCTGAAACATCTTCGCGGAGCGCCGCGGACCTCCAAGCGCGCGATTTGGTTGAGACAGCGCCGGACGCTACCCCCCCGCACCCCCCAAGACGGCATCGTGGCCTTCCCTCATCCCCCAGAGCGCGCTTTGCGCGCCTGGTGGGGAGGGGGAACGTGCCATCGATCGGACGTCCATTCCACGTCCATTGTTCGATTCCGTGTGCATCTTCGGCCAAACCAGGGGGTCTGGTGATTGTGTGGTGGGGGGGACCTTTGGGTAGAGCCATCTCCAGGACCACCGACAAACTATGAAGTAGGCGCCCCCTCTGGGTTGTGAAATAGGCGCCCCCCCTAGGTTATCAAGTCGGCGCCGCCCCCTGGGTTGTCCAGAAGGGGCCCCCCTCTGGGTTGTCAAGTGGGCGCTCCCCTCTGGGCTGTCAAGTAGGGCCCCACCTCTGGGTTTACAAGCAGGGCCCTCTGGGTTAGCAAGTAGACGCCCCCCTCTGGGGGTGTCATGTAGGCGCCCACCGAACAAAATCAGACGTCCGACCGATGCCAAGGGGAGGGAGGGTCCAGCGTCGACGCAAGGTGGGGACGGGGCGCTCCAGAAAGCCACGCGGACCTCCGAGAGGTCATGCTTTCTGTGTAGCTCCTGCCGCTCGACCCACAGCTCGCCGTCGCTCGGACGTCCAGTCTCCGTGCCTTGTTCGGCCTTGCGCGTGTACTCTTCGCAAGAGGCCCCGAGATGCTCCTCGATGGCCCTCGCCGAGGAGCAAAATGCACAAGTCCGAGCGACACCAAGACAGAGCCTGCGCGGAGCCCTGGCAGCTTCTGCCTCTGCCGTTTTTGCGGGTCTTCTGGCAGGGCGGGGTTCTCGAGGATCTGCGTGGCGGTGATGTTCTCGAACGCTCTGGCGACGGCAGGAGGACGCCGACTGCACACCCAGCGCCGACTCTGCCCAGGCCCCCTGCCTGGGCGCAAGATCGGGGCACGTCTGCGGATCCTCTCTGCCCCGATACGCAACACGCGACACGCTGCGCGTTGATGCGGAGCGCAACACGTAGATTGAACACGTGGGCCAACACGTGCACGATACGTGCACCAGAACGTGGACCAACACGTGCTGGGCGAACACGCAACGTGTCAGCACGGACGTTTTGAACACGGCACGTGTTGCGTTTCAGCACGGGCGTATCAGGGCAGCTGGGCTGCGGATGCGCCCACCTGGGCTGGCCAGGCACGGCGCGGTCAGGGCCGATGCAGGCGCAGTGCAGGTGGCGCCCTCCCGAGATGGCCTGGAGCTGAGGGGTGCGCGCAGCCGGCCTGCCGGGGGCGAAGGGAAGTGCCGGGAAGATGGTCTCGCCTCCCTCCTCGGGAGTGGTGAGGTAGACGAGCCTGTTTTCCACCACCACCACCACCAGAAATTGGATGGAGGGGGTCCTCCTCCTCCTCCTCCTCCTCCTCCTCATCCTCCTCCTCCTCCTCCTCCTCCCCTCCTCCTCCTCCTCCTCCTCCTCCTCCTCCTCCTCCTCCTCCTCCTCCTCCTCCTCCTCCTCTCCTCCTCCTCCTCTCCTCTCCTCCTCCTCCTCCTCCTCCTCCTCCTCCTCCTCCTCCTCCTCCTCCTCCTCCTCCTCCTCCTCTTCTTAGTCCTCCTCCTCCTCCTCTTAGTCCTCCTCCTCCTCCTGCTCGTCCTCCACCTCATTCCCCCCCTCCAACTTATGGTGGTCGTGGTGGTGGAAAACAGGCCCATCAAGGTAGATGAGTGCGGTCACGTGTCGCACCAGGCCGTGGTTCTTGTCGTGGTGGAAGTTCGGATGCGAGATGTTCGCGCCCGGCTGCGCCACGTCCATCGAGAGCTGCAGGTGCGTCTCCTCGCCGGAGGCGGGCACGCCGACGAGCTTCGCGATGCGCTCCTCCAGGCGGGTAACGATCTCGTCCCCCGTGAAAGGGATAATCCTGCTCAGCGGTTCCTCGTCGAGGGTCTCGGGTGCGTACTGCGCGCCCGCCGCAAAAGCAAAGAACATTGGACGACGCAAGCCGCGCACACGGCCACCGTGCTGCCACCAGGAGCGCTGCATACGGAACGACGAGGCAGGAGGAGGAGGAGGAGGAGGAGGAGGAGGAGGAGGAGGGGAAGGAGGAGGAGGAGGAGGAGGAGGAGGAGGAGGAGGAGGAGGAGGAGGAGGAGGAGGGGAGGAGGGAGGGAGGGAGGGAGGGAGGGAGGAGGAGGGAGGAGGGAGGAGGAGGGAGGGAGGAGGAGGAGGAGAAAGGAGGAGGAGGGAGGGAGGAGGGAGGGAGGAGGGAGGGAGGGGAAGGGAGGAGGAGGGAGGGAGGAGGAGGGAGGAGGGAGGGAGGAGGGGTGGAGGAGGAGGAGGAGGAGGAGGCAGAAGGGGTGTCCTGGCCACGGCACGCCTCCGCTCCGCCTCGCCCCCCCCCCCCCCGAGACCTGGATCCGGGAGCAGCGACTCGAGAACCCGAGCCCCTGCTGAGCCCCCCGCATCTGGAGCCCCAACCACTTCGGTTTTGGACACCCGAAATGGGTACGGAAAGAATGGGCACTATGCCCAACAACAGATGTTGTCCCGAACCAACAGCGGCCGCTGTTGGGCGGGCGGCCTTCTGTCTCAAGTGGACACAGGCCGCGGCGGCGTGGACAGCGAATCCTGTTCAAAATGAACAGGAACTGCTGTTGGGCATCGTACCCATTCTTTCAGTACCCATTTCGGGCGTCCAGAACTTCGGTGCGCGCTTCCCGCGCATGCCGGCGTGCGCGGCGGCGTGCCTCGAGCTGGTCTGGTAATCTCGCCCAGACCCCCGACGTCGCCATGCTGAAACGACGTGGGCCCCCCCCTCAGCGGTCTGGACCCTCCCCCCGAGTGGTTCTTGGACGGTCCTGGGGGCCCAGCGAGGGCCCCCAGGGGGCCGAAGATTGCACGACACGCCTCCCGACATGTCTCTCACGGCGCGCGGGGGGGTCTGGTCATACGGTTGGCGCCGTCCAAAGAGGAACCCGGGCTGGTCGGTCGGCTTCGCGTGGCGACGCACCGCGGCCCTGAAGTGCCTCACCTCGTCATCGAGCAGGAAGTCCTCGACGAGCACCACGGCCGAGTCGGCCAGCCCTGGCCTGTCCGCGCCCCCGTGCAGCTCGGCGCTGGCGCGGCCATCGCTCGAGGAACAAACAACAGCATGGACTGGACAGGCACGTTCCACTACTCGCAAAGTGGCTGCTCGCAGATGGCATCGCTCCACTGCATCGAGGCAAACAGGCGCCGCTGCATCGAACAAGAGTTGATTGTTGGACATTTGCGAGGAGGCATTGTGTGAGCAATGGAACGCGCTCGGCACAGACATACGCTTTGGGAGCTCAGCGCGAATTTCTCGGATCGGCGCCAGGCCCCAGTTCCTGGCGCGCGGAACGCACCAGGGACGGCTCCTGAGGCGCCGCCCGCAGATTCACGGTCAGAAACTCTTGCTTAGCGTGTCGTGGCGGCGGCCCCAAGACGCCATGCCTTAGATGTTGTTTGCGTGTTGCTCAGCTTGACGATGATTATTGACGGTCCCGATGCCCAGTAGGGGCTCCGGAGACTGAAAACCGAGAGAAACCTCCCGTTGTGATGTTGCACCAAGCGAGGGGATTTGGGTGCCAGAAAGAGATATATATATATATAGAGAGAGAGAGAGAGAGAGAGAGAGAGAGAGAGAGAGAGAACGCCAGGATCTCAATGTACAGTCGGCCCGTATTACATGATGCGCGATAATGATGCAAGGGCCTTGGCAGGCCCTCCCGAAGCTTCTCGAGCGGGGCGCGGCCAGCGGAAATGGCCAAGGCTGGACCGAGGCGGCAAGGATGCAGGGGTACCCTTGGGAAAACAGCCTTGCTGTGGTGAGCGTGTTCTTACTCGGCGTTTCGACATTGGACGGAAGGGTGGGGGGGTCTGGTTCCAGACCCCTGCTTTGTGCGTCTGTCTGCATCAGTGCGTCCTGTGTGGGAGACTCCACCTGCTTGAAACAAGCGCCAACCACGGCCAAAATCTACTCCACACCTATAGACCGATCTGGACTGCCAAGAACGTCGACAGGAACTGAGGTGTCGAGGTCCTGGTGCTATTTTGTAGCCCTCCTGGAAGGTCAAGGAAGGGGGGTGCGAGGGCCCGCGCCGATCGGCAAAACACAAGAAATAAGAAAACGAGCACCTGACTGTACAGGAGGAGAAGGAGGAGCAGGAGGAGCAGGAAAAGCAGGAAGAGAACGAGAAGGAAGAGGAGGAGGACGAGGAGGAGGAGGAGGAGGAGGAAGGTGAACCCTCCCGTCTAACTTCTGAGCAACTAGGTCTACCTCTAGGAGAGCCCCCTCCAGTACCCACGGCAGACCAGGTTAGAGGATGCCTAAAGAAGTTCAAGAAGAACACGGCGGTTGGCATCCACGGGTGGAGCCCGAATTCGCTCAAGCTCTTGAGCGACGACGCGCTCGCAGCGTATGGCCAGCTTCTCTTGCGCATAGAGTCGCACCTCTTGATTCCTGAGCAGTGCGACCATGTGCTTGTGGCCTTCCTGAAGAACCTGATGGAAGATACAGACCTATTGGGATACTTGCAACAGCAATACGCGTCCTAGGTAAGATTGGACGCCACGAAGCTAGTCAATTGGAAGGCTGAACACCATCTAGGTTGCGTCTTTGGGGCCAGGGCGAAAAGTTGTGAGTTAGCGATTTGGCAACACGCAGCAGTAGGAGAAGCAGCGCAAGCAGTAGGTACGTCGTCCGCATCGGCTCTCGTGGACATGGGAAAGTGTTACGAAAAGATTCCGCACGACGTTTTGTGGCAGGCATGTGTGAAGCACAACTTTAACCTTCGCCGTATTCGCTTGCTTTTGAAGGTCCACGGTGGACCGAGACGTATCATGGTCAGAATAGTGGTCTCGGATATGGTATGTATTACGCGTTCTATTGTTGCTGGTTGTACGTTTGCAACAACGTTGCTGAGAAAAGGTGTTGCAATATTCCTTGGAATGTATGAGACCTCGGTGGGCCTCCTTGGGGCTGTATGTGATGGTTGACGGTACTACGATTGAGGCCATGGGTTCCATGAAGCATGTCGAAAACCCACTCTCTGCAGCAGTACCACATTTATGTTCCAGGCTGGAGGCCATGGGTATGGTAGTCCCATGGAAGAAGTACAAGCTCGTCGCCTCCTGCCGCCAGCTGGCCGCCAATCTCCAGAGAGCGCTGGCCAAATACAGTTTCAAGGCCAATGACTCGGTCAAGAACCTAGGCCACGACTTCGGCAGGCAGGTGAGGAAGAAGAAATATGTCCTTCGGAGGCGTATCTTGGGAGTTCGGAGGCGAGCTAACCGTTTCAGATCCTTGAAGCACCATAAGAAGGGACTCACCAGAGTCTTTAGGGAAGTGGTATCGCGGCGGCTACGTATGGGGTGAGAATCGTTGGGATGAATGATTCTGGGCTTTCCGATCTCCGTGCTGATGCTGGTTACGCGTTGTTTGGGAGATCTCGGGCCGTGCAATATCTCCTCACCGACCCTCCCGATCTCGACCCGTCCTACCTCATCAACACCCTCCCGCTTATCACGTGGCTGCTGGCGCTGCACCAGCGGTGGCTCGCGGATAGCTTCATGCAGATTTGTTTTTCCGCGACGGTGGCATCAACCCATCTTGGATGGACATCGGTCACGGGACCAGCAGGTGTAGTAGTACAAACGCTCAGAAGCTGGGCTGAACGGTGATTGATTACGCACACTGGAGGGAACCCCAGGGCCTGCACGTGGACCTCAACAGCATGGGGACTCGCACGCTCAAGGCACTGGTTCACCGCACGATACGGCACCAGCAGGAGCAACAAGCAGCACAACACCTTGGATGGGATAACACCCCGTACTTCGAACCTGTCCTGGATGAGTTGCGCAGGATGGGAGGTCGGGGAGAGCACATCCAGGCCGACCTTGTGGTTGCCCATTGTTCTGGTGGGCTCTGGGCTCAAGCGACGCTATTCACGGGAAGGTATGAGCTGGAGCCAACATGCCTATGGTGCCGTCAAGCGCCAGGAACGATCGGACACAGGTTACATGTTTGCGATGGACTTGCTGCATGGCGGCGAGACCAAGGATTTCAAGAGCTGCACTCCATCTACCATGAGGCTGGATACTGTCTACTCGTGGAGTATGGAATTACTTCTAGCAAGAGAGATGAGTTCCCGCTTCCTCTCCAGGGACCAGAAGCAGGTTATGTTTGGAGGCCTGATTGTTCAGGACACCTAGGGGACGAAATCTTGATCGATGGCTCTGGACTTGACCCGACGGTTGACTGGAGGACGCGTTCAGGATGGGCGGCGATTTCCTTGGCTCCTGGACCCAGGGAGGAAGTATCAGCTGCTGCATGCGGGCCTGTCCCTGGTCCAGTTCAGTCGGCAGGCATGGCAGAGCACTACGCGCTTTACATGTGTGTGTGTGCCTCGTGGGCACGACGGCCAAGGCGGTAACTGAGCACTACAACTTAGTCAAGGGCCTGGACAAAGGGCCAACAATCATGCGTGACCCTGCCCAACCCTATTTCGAGATAGACAGGTCACGGTTTTTGGAAGCTGGAGGATGTCGGGCGTGAAAACGTTGATGTTGTGTGGATGCCGTCGCATAAGTCTCGGGAGTGGCTCAGGAATAAAGGGTATCCCGATAGGTGGTTCCCAGGTAACTCGCTTGCTGGCAAGTATGCCAAGATAGGTGCCATGCAACATCCCATGATCCCACATCTTCAGGACCGCTTGAGG